AATATGGCCCTGCTAACAAGATAAATGAAACCCTATAGAGAGCTGAGATGTAGGCTGTTGGTTTTCATAAAGAATATTCAACTAACAAGCATAATTTACCTACATTTGACTGATTTTGCTGACTTATAACTTGACTTATGAGGCAATATACCTCACCTCTATAAGTGGCCCAGCCCTTCGTATATTTATATGCATGTGGCCCTCGGTGAAAAAGTTTGGACACTCCTTGACTAGATGCTTTGTTTTTAAAATATCCATATTTGTTAATGGTATTTTTTTGTAGTAGTTACATGGAAATAATGTTCAAGTAAATCATCAGAAATTAGACAATATTTTTAATCTTTTGGATTCATTTAATAAAACGTATAAATAAAGCTCAAACCCTACCAACACATTTACCTTATAACTGGGCAGAGAGTCCAGACCTGGATACTCTTCGATATCTCCGGTTCTGACATTAAAGCAAGCACCATGAAACGGACATCTCACTCGGTCACCAACCAGTGCTCCTGGATCAACGGAACAGGCAATTGTCATTCCTTAAATTCAATGCAAAACATTTCATAAAGAATAAATCAGCTAAGGGTAAAAAGGGATTGAATGTTTACCTTTGATGAGAGGAGCATTGTAGTGAGAGCACCGGCTTCCAACAGCACTGTACTGACCCTGAGTCCGGACCAGCAGCACCTCCTGATCCCCCACTTTCACCTCCTTCATCCTTTAAAACACAAAAGATGGACGATGGGAAACAGTTCAGAACAATCTGGTGTTATATCTAAAAACTGATATTTTTTCAGGAAGAAAAAGCGAGTGACTTACTGTCCATCTTTGAGGTCAGCCTCCTGACAAACCAGCCCTGTCACCACATCCTGGTCTGCTCCTTCACCTGGTTCTTGGCCGTGACTCATTCCTGCAACATCAATTAAGAAAACAGGACTATAGTTAAGGATCCCGGCTTTGCCTTTAGGTGTGGACCATAAGCCACTCATACAAAAGGTTGCATAGTAGTCTGACATGTGCAGAAGCACAGTAACCACAAAACAAAGGCATTCAAACATGTATATGTATTTAGTCTCACAAAGAAAAAAAATATGTAAGGAATAAGGATCAACAACAACGAAGGAGCCAATAGTGCCATAAAGAGGCTTCCATAGATTCATATGGTTATTTTGGCCCATTAAAAAAAAGAGTAAAACAAACAACAATGACATATTGTTCCTTGAAGGTAAAGTAATCTAAATAAACTCTTCAGCGCCTATGTGTCCCCTTTACTAAACATGCTCATACATGCCAACCTTTCCAAATCCAAAAGAGGTAGGTTTGCGCACGGCAAATGTACACGCCCAAATTAGGTAATCAGAAGAAATGGAACCCCAGTAATTACATGTATAAACCATGTATTTAACATATATTGCATCATTTTATGCATTTTTCAGAAAAAGTGGTAGTTTGGTAAACAGTGACATTAACGACATGTTTGGTCTGTAAAATGCCCGAAAAGTGAAAGAATGGGAGATAAATATCCCCAAAAAGGACAAAGACAAACAGTAATAGTAAACGTATGATAAACAACTAACATGTTCATACTCACACTGCAGTATGCCTTTTATTCATGTATTCTGTACCTGCTGTGTTTATTTATTTATTTCATTATCTTTGCTTTTTTATGCCTATTTTTAAATGCCATTTAATAATGTGTTATGCTGTATATATTCTTAAATGTATTTTGTTTTTATTTTGTAAAGCACTTTGAATTGTTGCGTGCTGAAAGGTGCTATATAAATAAAATTGCATTGCCTTGCCTAACATGCCAGTAAAAAGCATCAGCATGCACAATTCTGACTGATTTCTGTTTCCACTCTGTGAAACTCATAATACATCAAGTGATGTAAAAGGCGTAAATAACACTAAGCATTGCACATACCACTTAATTTATGTCCCTCATTCAACTACATCAACCACTGAAACGTGAAACCTCCATGAAGATGTACTCACCTGTTTTCTTCGATCTGACGCCAGTGAGAGAAGATACAATTAGCTTCAAACTGTTCCTCGGCAGTGTTACGTGGGTCATTCAATAGCGAGCAGAGGAGAACTGCCCGCGTGACATTTAGCCGGAGTCATGTGATCCCCGCGAGCTCCTCCCACAACAAACCCCTAACAGAGAGGGATCACACCGAAGAGTATACCAAATCCATTCAGAGGAAAACAATTATACCCCTTTTATTTTAACTGTTAATACACAAGAATGTTTTTGGATTGGTGTACATTTAAAAAAAAAATGAAAGTGATGTACATCATATAACAATACGTTTAAGGACAACTGCATATTTTTAAGAGAAATGGACAGGAACCAAGCCAATGTTGTCTAAACGTTGTAAATGAAAAACCATATAAGATTGGGCCTTAACTTTATGAAACTTATAATGTGACACGTATAACTAGTGATGGTGAGATAAAGCCTTATGAGTTATGAAGCTTTAGCTTTCCAGCCAATTGGTTCTCAAAAGGGTTCATCTCATGAGGCTTCATCTGAACCCTCCTGTTGGTCAAAGTGTGTTAAACAGGCAGAAATCTCAACAGTTTGATCTTTCTGTGAGTTCCCAATGAGTTAGAATAACTCTAAACAATGAGCATGAAATCCTATTTTAATGTAATACATTTGTCTGAATATTATACCTGCCCAGTTACTCGAATTAGTATTGCAGTAATCAAATTAGTAATCTAAGATACTCATAAAAGCATTCGATGTATGACGACCGCAGCACTGTTTTTGCATGTAACTGTAACCTTTGAGCAAAGCATTAAATCCCCATTATTAATCAATCGATGCTTTCTACTGATCTGTGAGGGTTTTCATTCATTACCATGGGCTTCACTTTGTTAGAAACAGTGGTGGGGACAATTTCTCCATATTTAACAATAGCATAGCAGAAGACAAAAGATGCTAAGGCTACCAAGAAAAACAACATTGTCTAAAACACGCACAGACACAGAAATTAATAAATGTATGTAAGTGAAAATAAATGCAGATATACATTTAAGATATATAATAATGTGTGTTCTGTTTTATTCTCAACTTTAATTTTGTGTTTATTTATTCCTTATACTGACTCCCATGTTGTATATAAACAGTCTGTATTCAACACATGAACTAACCTACGTTATAGTACGGCACAGGATAGGTTTTTTCCTGACAGAATGTGTATCCCAATCCCGCAACCATCAGATAATATTGGCCCTTATAATTTCTATTAAGGCTACAGGCTTTATTATGACCAAACACACATTCACATGCTGACATAAGAATGACTTGACAATGATGTCAGCTGAGTGGAATAGTGTTATTTAATGTACCTTTAAGCGGACGGTGGCGCTGTGGCACCAAATATTTCAAGAGTCATTCACGTTCATGGCCAGGCTTTAGATTGAACGGTGTACCGTCAAACATTATGATATTATACAATACTTCTGTATGATAGGTGTTCTGCTGATTTAAAGTAGCATGTCCTGCGATATATTTTTTATTTTTTACTTGCAGGTATAATAAACTACTATTCCCACAAACGGTGGTTTGTGAATGCTGGTGGGTTAGAAGCATGTTGCCTTCAAGTGCTCTCCATTCAATACAGCTTTCTTAGTCCTATCCTAATTTGTAGTGCATTGTGGTATGTCTGCAATAAATATAGCCTACATCGTAACGAAACCATGGTAGCTGTTTTTTTTATTCAAGCTCAAAGTTAAAAGTGCTAAAATAAAACAATAATTGACTATATTCATTATTTTTTATGAGCAAGCTGCAGTGTCCAATAACAAGTCTATTTTGTGTTTTTGGACATAATTTCGAAAATTATAATCAAAGTAAATCAAAGGGAGGATAAGGCTTAAAATGTAGGTTTTATTTGGTATGTTCACTTTATCAACAGGTATTTCAGGCTTTTAAACTGAAGGGTACTTCATCACTGATCCCAGCCCTGCTGCGGTCAGTGCCAACCCGTTTTAGGAAAGGAGTGTCTTCACCAGGGCTGGGTATCTTTTGGCTTGATTTGAAATATTCTAAAAAACTTTGTGACCACAATGCCTTTACAATACAAGCAGCTGTACAGTAAGTAACCATTCCAAAATCAATATATTAGGATAACTCAACATGTATTTATGTTTACCTTAATTGTATTAAGTCCCATTAGGATAAAAAAAGAAAAATCAAAAACAACGTACTTAATCAAAAACAACGTACTTGATTAAATAAAAGTTTGAAAATCCCCTGTTCAATAAGTGGCACATTAATTGACAAAATTGTGCCGCTCTTCTACTTCTACAACTGATTTATTTTCACTATTTCTTATATTTAATTTGATCAGAATCAGGTTTTTTTACTGCCAAGTATATTAATTGAGATTAAATCAATATAAAGCATGTATATCATAAATAAGGAATAGAAAACAATTACAATACAACAATAAAAAGTATACTAAGAATACTATTCATTAAAATTGGTCAAATATAAGTCTTTTCCATCTCTATTTCGAACCGATTAAAAACAAAAACAAATACAATTTTTTTAACAGAATACCGTATTGGTAGAACACAGTCTTTTATTTTATTTTTATAAATTGTCAAACAATATTTATATATTCAACAATATTTATATATTTAACAAAAATACTTGAAAAGGAAGAGGAAGCAAATACTTATTAATTCCCAACCCTGACACAATTTATTATTTTTTACTCTAATTATTTGCATGTAATCATAGTTATATGCAAGAAAACACCAAGACAGGTTGCTTTAATGTTCACCCAACAAAATACAGATGAACGGATTTTCGACAGCACTTGAAGGTAACACAACACACAGAACGTGCTCTCGGCCGCGCCCCTTTGTAGTAGGGCGGGGAAGTCCTTTCTGTTGATGTCAAAAGTTACACAAGCAGGGATGAGGTTTTACAACAAAACTGTTTCACAACTGTACACCCGGCTTCACACTGACGTTCCCCACCCACCTCCACCGGGCACACCGGTGGCTGCACAGCTCTCTCTGTTAGGACTATCACCGAAAACATATCACAAACACACGTCCACATGCTCGTCCGCGCTTTCTTTCTCTGGACAAAAACCGTGGAAGAAACACGTTGTTTTTTTTGAGTCAGTGAGGTATATGAATTGGAAATACCCTGGTGTGATTGTCTCGTCTTTTTTCTGGCTGGACAACAAGACGCGTGCGTTGATACCGCTCACATTGGGGACAATTGTTGCATTTTAAGTCTTCATTCAACAAACATTTGAGCTATGGAGTTGAGTTCAGTGATCCTAACCACCGGGGTCTCGGTCGGGTTTTTTAGGGTGGTCAATGCTGGTGTCGGTAAACTGCCCATGCCTGAGTCTGCCTGCAGGAATGCATGGAAATGGAGAAACATCTCTACATCCTTCGTGCACAGCTTTATCACTGCGATATGGGCAGTGCTATGGTGAGTAAAATCCCTCTAAACTGTTGTGTTTACATAAGGTGCTGACTGGGAGAAAAGGGTTACATATCATGCGAGCATGGTTTCATAAACGGATGCTGGACTTTTAAGCGGTTGTTTTCAAAATGTGCCTTTATTATATTTAGCCTTCATTTAAGCTTGTTTGATTAGTAAATATCTATATTATTCATTATTAACCTTTATTTTTGCCATGCCAGCATGCGAGACCCTTAATGGACTTTTTGTTCCCATTTGTCCTGGATTTGTTGATTAGGCTACACATCGTTTTACATTATTATGATAATGTTTACTTCTACATACCACCGAGACGCTTCCAATAAATAAAAAAGTCCTCTACCAATAACTCTTGATATGAAGTTGGCTCATGAATAGTAAAAACATCACTCTCACATCAAGTTTTTTTTGCACTTGTGTTCGTCTTTTCAGCTTTTTCCGCCACCCACAGATGGCCGAAGATTTGATAGAAACTCACTCTGTGTTTTCTCACGCCTTGGTGTCGTTATCGATCGGTAAGTAGACTGTCAGCACAGTGTTAATATAAATACAAAAAGTTTATTTGTTTATCACCTTTTACAAAATAAATTAAACACAATATGAACATAACATCAGTAGCTATAACAAAGAAATAAACATAGACAATATTATGGAAAATTAAATCTGCTTGTTAAAATAAGTTATATTAAAAATAACACATGTGTCTGAATGGGCTTGTGTTGGTGAAAGGGAAGGCTCAGATGCAGTGCTGCTGCCACCATAAGGGGAAATGAGGAAGTGACTGTATCCATGCCTGGCAGTCTCCTTTCCCACACGGTGTCAGTGGAAGTTATAGGTCCAAAAGCATGTGAATCATTATTTCAACTGACTAGAACAAGTCTTGACCTGGCAATTAATTCTTATTTTAATCAGTTGGAAAAGCGCAGCAACAAGGTCAATTGAGACTTGTTACAACTCAGTGTTGAAATTTGCTCTGACTTTAGTCAGCAAATATAGGCAGTTCATTGTTTCTACATTTCGCTGACATTGTAAATATTAACTTGTTGCTGTTTACTGGCCTTTGTTTACTAATGTCAAACTTTTCTCACAACTAAGCCATTAAAGATGGAGATGATTGTTTCTGGTCTGTGATTCAGGTTGTGTGTGTGTACCCTCCCTTTAACTGGACTTTGAACCCATTTACACTTTCTTTTTGCTTGACTAAAGCTCATTTGTCTTGGTTGTGTAAATATATATATATTTACAATTAGAAACTCTTACTTGATTGGATTTTGCTTAATATCATAAAGATGTATTACACTTAAGTGTGCATGTGACCTCACATTTTTAAAATAGATATTCATCCTGCCTTTACCATTTCTCCTGAACCCTTAAAGTATTCAAAAACATTTCTAGGCACGTGGGTCCTCTTAAATCCAGACATTTATTGGAAGTGTGCCGGTCAACAAGATCTCCCCGAGGATTCCCAGGATGTTTGACATTCTTTCAGGAAGCCCAGCCCTGGAAGCTGGCAAAGCAAGGGACAGTGTTAATGTGTGAAGATCAATGGAGGGCATTATTATCAGTCCTAGTTGGCACCAGGCATAACCCCGTACAGTCACGTGACCTCACTTGTAACTTGGGCAAAAAGTCAGTTGATTTATGCGGGTGGTGCTTGTCAGATGCCAGTGGTTACAGAAAGGGGAGTCATTCATGGAAAACAAGTGGAGTTTTTCTCCCGGCCCTCCCACTGGATATGTGGTGTGATTCTGAGGCCTCAGCAAGTTGTAGTGAGGAGTTTTGTTCTCCGGATTTGTGCATTCGGCCTGTTCTCGCTGGGATACCACGCTGATAACCTTGCAACGACATGCCATAAATGATTCTCCACTTGTTGAATGAAGACCTTGTTCAATGCTGAGAACAATGTCTTGCACAGCCCAGAAGTGTGTGATCCTTTTGTCAAGGGGCTTTAATACTCACCATATTCCCTGTGTTGCTTTGTATAACAGCGTTAGAGATAGATTCTCATTAAATGGTGGTGTTTCCCCCATAGACTATAAAAGTAAGTTACTTTTAATACTAAAAGTTCAACCAAAACCTTTTTTTCTTTGCTGTAGAGGAATCTGTCTATTCAGTTTACAGTCAGAGAAGTGAAAAACAAACGAGACAATATTCACATTTTAGAAGCTTGAATTAAAATTATCTTGAGTTTTTTTCTTTCTTTGAAATTATTCAAATTGATTATGAATTTATGTGGCAATTTATTTAATAAAGTTGAAACTAATTGATATCTCTTTGCAGCTTTATCTAATATCCAATACAGAAAATAAGATGCTCATAGTCAAAGTCATTATTTTTCCATGGGCATATTTAGTTGATATAGTATAAACAAGTATTCACAATGATATGCATCATGCTTCTAAAGTCAAGTTTACAAAGACTGGTGGGAAAAGGCCACATTGATTAGATGTTTACATGCCCCTGGCTGCAGTTACTCCAGGATCAGGCTTAACCAGGTTAAGGTTAAGGTTGTGTTGCATGAGCCTGAAACCCGGTGGTTGTCTAACTGGTTTAATGTGAACATGCCAATGGCTGTCACCCCACAGGATCTCGAATGAAAAAACCCTGTATCTATTGCTTTGGATGATTTAACCTTCTTTTCTTAATTTTCATGCTTTGCTTGTTGGCCAAGGGAAAGTCAAGTAGCTTCCAATTCCTTTGTTCTCTATGTAGACATTAACTGTGCATTGGCATCATGCCTGGGTTGAACATAAAGTAATACTATTCTTAAAAACAAAGTGATTCTTTGTATCACCTTTATGTTTAAATAAAAAGTATTGTACTGTATAATACAGTAATTAATTATTCCATATTAAAACACATCGGCAAAGAACTGTACATTTATTGGCTCTTTAATTTAACAAGTCACATGCTGCTCCAATTGACTGTTTATAGCTAAACTTGACCCAAACATGAACTCTTGTAAAAAAATAAATAACAAGCTATTAAAAAGAGACATCGGCGTGGAGTTCCCTCCAATATCTTTAGACAATATTTCGACCTGAGGCTGAAAGCAAGTACATTTATGTATGGTGAGGCAATCCAAACAGGTCAAAAGGGTCTTGGTATCAAATCTCCAATACAATGAGCTTAAATCCAGTCCCACCAAAGCCCCCTCTCACCCCTTCATCCCCTTCTTCACCACTTCATCATTGTTCAGCATTGTGAATAGCTGTAACCATGGATACGGCTGGTGGTGGGGAAGGAGTGGATATGAATAGCCTCTTTCCAAGACGTACTGTGGTTGTCGTCATGGAAGCAGGGTGGCCCCCCATATGACTCGATATACTCGAGGCTTCTTTAGTTAAATGAATCATGCTGTTTGATAAATGAATTGCTAAACTTAAAGATTGTCATTAACATCGGCTAAATGCTCTCTTTCCCAACAGGCTACTTCATCTGTGACTTCCTTGACATGGTGTTGAACCAGAAGCTGAATCAGTCCTGGGAGATTCTCTTTCACCACATTGTGGTAGGTCTTTCAACCATTACTGTCACAGATCAAAACTAGAACTAGAACCAGAACCTCCACGAGGCCAAATTTCCCATTTTGTGATTCGGATCTACTCAAAAATGTTATGGGTTCTCCCTTGGCCCATGCTAGACCCTTCCTCCAAGATTCATGAGAATCTATCAAGAAGTTTTGATGCTGACAAACAAACAAACCTAACTAATGTTTCACCTTGACCGTCACTGACAGCAGACCAAACTTAACTTTTGCATCTCTGTGAGAAACGATGTACTTTGACTTAATCCTCCTTTGCATTCAATGCACAGTACTCACTGCATAGTTAAATTAAGCGGCAAAACTCCAACACACCTGTCGGAAGCACATGCATGGAAAAGAGAAACTACCCGTCTTTCTTGTTAAGTGACAAAGGACAAGTGGAAGGGAGGAACAAAGAGAACATTTTTTCCGGTGTGACAGCCCCCACGCCAAGCATTCAACCCTCTGTCATGCCTTGAGAAAGATGAACTCCACCCTTATTTCTCAGTGTTTTGCCATCCACTTAACCACAGTTACTAGGAAATTCCCATTAGACCCGTCTTCTTCATGACATGAGGACCCTCAGCAGGCTGGTCTGTTGGGAGTTCATTCCCTCAGGGTCGGATCAGTAAACCCTTCCCCCATTCCTGCCTTTGAACATCAGGGAAAACAACCTGAAATGAACATATAGAACCACACCCAGAGTTAATATTTTCTTTCTCTGCAAATGGATGATTGACCTACATCCAACACAATGCTGATGTTTAGATTGCCTTCTGTTGCTATGCTCTCGTCTTGTTATTGTAATATATTGCTTTTCTCTTGAGAGCTGTTTATTTAAACTTTTATTGGAAGAGTTTCAAACAGGATTGGTGTGGTTTTCAAACTCTTGCAGCCACAATTTATACGTGTGTTTTGATGTTAATGTGAACAAGTTTTCAACACCAAGTATGTGGAAATATTTTATTGCAGAATTAGGATAAAGAAGTATGGGGTTCATCAAGTTCCAGATGCTTAAAACATGGGTAAAAAGGCTTACTTATTATTTATAAATACTGACATACAGTTTATATAAATGCAAACTGATAGAAAAAACTCAAGAGCAAAATCTAGGCCAGTGGTTCCCAACCTTTTTTTCCAAGAGCCCCCCCAAATGTTGGAAGTTCCGCCCCCCCCCCCTTCCCCACACACACGTGCAACAGCGGTAATTATAGTTTAAAAGTCTCAAACATGCTACAACTACTGTCACAAACTGGATGAATGTGAAATATTTTGTTAAAGGAGGATGAAAGCGTAATTAAGGAGCACTATTGGAGTGACTTTGATGGTTATTGGACTCAGGATTAATTTATTTGGATTCCCGCTGTATGAAGAAATTAAAGGACGCCGCAAGTGGAAACAATTCACAAAGGGATTAAACTGTTTAAAACACATGCTCCAAGTAAACCGGATTTTGCCTATGTTTTTTATGTGGATTCAAAAGTCGTAAATAATCTACAAAATGGAGGAGACCGATCTGATCGGAGCAACTGTGACAAGTAATCCAACTGAAACCGGCATGGACAATGACTATGTTTTTAAAAATGCGCTTATCCAGAAAAGCCTGGTTTGGACACTTTACAGGCAGAAGAAACATTTCTATTAAAGAAAAAAATATACATTTCTGTCTTTTTATGCCTATAATAGCTACTAACTTGAATTTGTATTCAAATTAATCAATCTATTATTTTTTATATTTTATTGTAATGTAGAGACAAGGCTTTTAGTGACAATCATGTATTGCTTTACAATTATATGTATAAAAAAAAAAAGGTTGGGAACCACTGATCTAGGCCTTGCAATACTCTGTGATAGATATTTTCAACGTAGATTTACATATTAAACCACTTGATCTGTTAATGGGAACCCTTTGAAAACACACAAACATTGAGGCTGATCCTATGCCTGAAAACAAGCTAAACATGTCATGAACTGATGCACCGTTTTAGTGGTTCTGGTAGTCTAAAAGTGGTTTCATAAGACCTGATTTCTTTGCAACAAAAACACCGCATTGACAAATAAAAAATACATTATTTGCGCTTTAGCACATAAAATAAAGTTAGTTATTGTTTACAAGATTTCTTTCAAAGGTCACTATTTCATCAAGCACATATGAGGTCTGTACGTGATACAATAGATTTACCGAACTGTTTCATTCCACTTATCTCAAAAATGTACTACCTCTTTATCTCTGGTGCTGTTCTGGAGCGCCTGGTCTTGCCTATAATCGTACATTGTTGCGTATGTTGTGCTGTTTATTGGTAAACTTTCCATTTTTGATTAATTGGCTTTAAATAACTGTTTTACAAGTAAAACGTTGGCCACCTTGATGGACCGCCAAATTAAGTTTTCATTTTTGGGAGACAATTGAGAGCTTGCAATGAACGTGATGAAGATAATAATGGTAGCCTGTGAGTGTCACGAGGCGTCCTTTTTGTTTCTAAATAATGTTTAAGGTAGACCTTATCACTTTTTGCTGAGTGGAAACAAGTGTTTCCCTGTTGAAAACGCCACGAGTCACTCAGAATTATTTGTGGAAACCAACTCACAAACCACCCAGTTGTTGGTGGCACTAACAGAATAGATAGTTGTATTGTCTTTTTTTCTGAAATCTTGTTTTTTTCCCTCTTTCACTTCCTGTAAGCCTACTGAATGGATGCTTTGGTCTGGCCAGCTGGTCTCCGACTGTAGAGTGTGGGATAGACAGACACTTCTTCTTCATGACATGGCTTTCTGTGTTTCTTAGCGAGCTGACTCTCTTTCCCTATACTCACTTTTTTCCCCTTCTGTACCAACATCAAGACAATCCTTCATTATTTTATATAATGGTTGCTACTGGATTTTCACATACCTTTCTTATGTCAATGCAAAAGAACCAAGTCAGGGTTTAAATGCTGCAAATGTAAGTGTGCTGGTCATTTTGAGAGGTTGATCTCTAGTTAATCTCCCCCTTGTTTCAGCCGCACACTCATCTCACCCTTGAATCCCATTTCCTTACAATATAAGGGAACAATCTACCTTTTGCCTGCACACATGACACTGACATATAAAAACTAAAAATGTAAAAGTTGGGATGTAGTTGAAGAGAAACAATCCCTCTGAGGCACAATAAAACAATAAATGGAGATGAATTGATTCACTTAAGTACAGTACAACTGTACAATAATGTGTTCTTACTGCGCAAACATCACGTATGTAAAGCTTTTATGTGTGACTCAACAAACAAGGTGGTTCATAAGAGGGACACATCTAGAAGGAACAGGAGGTGTGTCATCAGTGGAACATTTTTAACACTGTCAACAATTGATAACAAATTGTGTTTTATTATTGTATGCTGAGGCACAAGGTGACAGGTGTGAACCATAAAACAACAATACAGACAATTGATGACTTGAAGACTAAATAATAAGGTGTTATTTATCTTCAAGTGTAAAAATAAAGTTACATTTCACAGTTGTGGTTACACCGGTCAGGCATTTTTGTAAATCTTAGTGGCAGTTAAAAACGAGTAATAATTTAGCTAAGGCAGCCTTTAAAGTTAGAGGATTGAGAGAAGATGCAATTTCTCACATCTGATCTCATGCTCTGTTTTACCTTTACCTCTTTCTTTAGTGTTTGTCTGCTCAGAAGTATATATTTTTATTATTTTCTTTGCGTCTCCATTTTTGTAATCAACTCTGAGGGTTTCCTCTGTTAAAACAGCATTATAGTGAAATAGCATGAGGGGTAACAGGAGTTTGGTTGATCCCTGGTGTCGCCAACAAGGAGAAATAATAAAGTCAAACATTCCATGGAAAGTTTTTTTTACCGTCTTATTGAGTGAAGGGGAGAAGATTACAGCTTCTAACTTCTGTCTGAGGAGCATGGGTCCTGCCACAGTCACTCATGCCTGATGAAATCCTGTCAGCCACAACCTTGTGCTTCCTTTGAAAAACAGGAAGTCCTGATAGTTCTGCCAGAGATAGGGTGCAGAGAGAAATGTACCTTCTACATATGTTGTCAGAGAAACGTAATGTCCATGGCTCCAAAAAGTATAATACATTTAAAGTTAAAATAAATGTGTCTGTTTTGCTTGAGGGGTACTTACTACAGTACATACGGATAATGTCAAATCAAGGTTTGTTTGCCGATCTTGTAAAAAAATAGCCTCTCCCCATATTGAGTCTGTTTCAGCCGTGTTTGTCCATGACTCTTGGAAAAACTGAGCTTGTAATTAAAAAATACAAGCCAGAAGAGACAGATCCCAGGCAGAAGAGCAGATCATTTTTTCCATGAAGAATACAACTATGTGCAAAGCAGTATGTCCAATGTTCACTTTTTTAGCTACTTATCAATAATACACAGTAGAAACTATGAGTCTTGCTCTGCTGCTTTCCCTTTACCCTCACACAGGGGTTGGAAGTTTTGAAGCATGTTTGCCGTTTCCTTCTTCAAATGTCTCTCATCCCTATCGGATTAGGCCAAATTCAATTATCTTTATAGAAAGGGGCCAAGGCCGACACTCCTTAAAAACAGATCAGGGCTGCAGGGGTTAATCAGCTATATTTGGATCAGGGTTGTTACCAATCACATCTCCATGGTCTCCAAGCAGTATATGCTCTCTCCACTATGCTACCTACAGGGATTTAGTTGTGTACAATGTAATCATCCTTACTCCAATTAGTGTCAGGGAATACTTATATCTAAAGACACAAGTTGCTCTTATACACACAAACTATTTAAAATGTCTGCCACACCCTTGGGAAGTAATTATTTTCTCCACTGCCTTCTGCTATTTCCTAATTTAATAATCACCCAGACCTGTAATAAAAACAATAAATACATAACTGTTAATTATTTCCATTTCCTGAGGTTAATGGGTTTGTTTGAACAAACCTAGAAGCTTCTGTGACAGTAATATTTATGTTGCCCCACCTTTACAGCCATTTTGACGACCCCTGATATTGCATATCTGCATACATAGAAATGTCACTTTCATTAAACCA